GATTGCTCTTGGATGTGTAATTTCCTTGAAAAAGGGAACTTTGCAGATAATACAATACTATTGTAGAAAGGAAAACTAGTTTCACATGTTTTACTCCATTTCGTCCCTTTCCTTGGACGGAGTTTAAAATCTAGATCTTCTCCGAGACTAGTCAGTAAGGAGAGAGAGTCCAGTTTGATTTACAAAGATTTTTTTGAGACAAACTCCACAACCCAGCTTCTTTATTCCATGGTCGTCCAATAGCATTCCTTTGGCGTGTGATCCTCTGTGTAACAAAATAAGAATGAACTTTCTCAAACACGTTGTTTCCACTGTGTCATCAATTGCATTTAATTTGTATTTTGTTATCTAAATTTTTGTTTGTCATATATATGGATATTTTATATACAGGGTGTCCCAAAAGTAAGTACACACTTTTCAATCGTCAATATCTCTCTTCCCGATGGGTCTTTTTTCGCCAGTTAAGTACCATTCTGTAGAGAAGGCTTCAACTTAGATTTACAGTATTGAGCGAATCACCGACCGCTCTTCATCACTGTGGAATTATGGTAAGAACTTCCAGCAAGTAGAACTATTGTGAAATATGCCATCTGACAAAAATTTTTTCAAAAAATCTGAAAAATAGTGTACTAGGGTTTTCGCGCATGCTGATTCCAGTACACAACATTCCATGAGTGTTTTCAGTCTTTTTGAGGTGTAATAACATTTCTGACAAATATTGAGAATTTGGATATTACGGTTTACCTGGGATAACTTTAGAAAGAAGCATCATAGTAAAGTGGAAATTTCATATTTGAAATAAGCAACTTCCACTATTTCAGTATAAGAGTTTTTAGCTTGTTTGGTTCTGTTCCAAGGCAGAATACGGCTCCCAATGGCCTGAGCAGTATCACTGAAGCAGAGGCGATGCTGAAGGAACTAAACGAAGTAGGGAAGAAGATCGACTGCGAATAAATCGGAAGAAGATTCAGTTTACGATGAACGCCCTTTACGAAGATGCAGAAATGGAATTGGAAGGCACTTCTATCATGAAGACTTCTCCTTACGTGTATCTCGGACGTTCGATGAACATGGAAAACGAATTGAACTTAACAGGAGAAGAAGAGCAGCCTGGGCCGCCTTCGGGCCCCTGAAGGAAGCCACCGACCAACTGACGGACTCGGAGCTTCGTGCTCACCTGTTCGACTCAACCGTTCTCCCGGCGCTCTTTTACGCAGCTGAGACTTGGGCCGACACTGTAGCCACGTCAAAAGCTTTACGGACCCCCACAGAGCGCTCGAGCGCAGTCTTCTGAAGATGACCAGACGCAAGCAACATCTAATCGGACTTCGCAGTACGGGTATGAGAAGAATGTCCCGTCTTCGTAACCCCAGCGGAATACGTCGCGAAAGCCAAACGCCGATGGGCCGGTCACATAATGAGAAGAACAGACGATAGATGGACACTAAGAACATCGGAGTGGATTCCTCGCTAAGCCAAATGTCCGCGAGGAAGACCACCGACGAGATGGGCAGAAGTGTTCGTGGAACGGATGGAGCAGCTGAGAAATCAGCTGGATACGACTTTCACCCCTGGAACTCGTGGACGCAGCCACCGACGGCCAAGAAGATCGTGGATGTCTGAAGCGGGGGACAAGGAAAAATGACAACTTCTGTACTGGGGCCCGCACGTCACGTGAGGACGGGCCATCTAAGTATTTGAGTAAGTAAAAACTCGAAAATCTCCAGAAATCTTTAGGACACCCTTCACCCAGGTACTTTTTTGGAAGGATTTCAGACATGCTATATGTTTTCTGAAAGCGGAGGACAGGCGGTTCCAATGGTGACCATTTTGTCGTACAAGATGTTCTTCTACAAAAGTTAGGAATTTTTTTATCCTAGAAACGTAAATATCCGGAGATCTACCCACACCTTTCACCAGGCACTTTTTCAACAGACTTCAGGCAAACTGTATATTCCCTAGAAGAGGAAGACAAGGTGGTTTTAAAAACATTTCCCTTGCTGCCGTTGCTGTTCATCTTCAGAAATCACGAATTTCTTACTTTAGAAAACTCATAAATGCTTAATTAAAGCTCCATTTTAATCAGGTAATCAGTAATCCACAGCTGAACGAGATATATAAAATACGAGCAGAGTGCATGTTTGCAAAGTACAACGCGTAATTAGCACTCAAGACCGCATTATTGATCTCAGCATCATTCAACTGGGTTCGCTTAGCCCTGTCGTACACATTACCCGAAATCCGGCAAGTTGTGCAACGACTTAGCTCATACATGTCGCTCAATATGCCGAGATTGAGGAACAGCCAAACCATGGACCATGTTTCAATTGTGTATTTCTCTTTCCGTCATTATTTCCCATTGTCAGGCAACTCAATCTATTTCTACTACCGCTTCGCCTAAAGAACAACCGAAATTTTCTGTGGGACAAAGGCCCGTAGTAAAGCTAGTTGAGTTCAGTTGAACTGAACTGAGACCCTCATCCAAGATTCGGTAAGGTAGACTGCCTATCACCAGCTTCCCATGTTGTAAGAATGCTAAATGAAATTTCAGCTGACCGTCCGTCTACCTGACGAGGTAGTCTACCTTACTTCAGTCAGTTCACATTCAGTTAGACTACCAATTGGTGAAAATAGTGTGCCAATGATGATACGCAGAGAAACTTCTCGTAAGTTGCTCCTGAGTAACTTACAAAACATCATAATTTGCCTAACAATGCAGAAAAACTCAACGGAAAACTGCACACATTTTCCCTCGCTGTGCTTGTGCGGATTCGACGTTTTTGGCTTTTTTTTTGCTTCCTTTCACTTTTTCCTTTTGTTGTCAATGCAACTATCATCTGAACTAGCAAAATTTTTGACGAGTTAATCAAAATTCTCTTTTTTAACATGACATCCGTACCTTACTCCGGCTTTCGTGATTCTGGTTTTATCGCAGTTCCGGGCAGTCAACGCTCAAGTGTGCCATCTTCTGATATAGGTTAAAGCCGTTAGCTGTGTCTGGTCTTGATGGAAACTAGGTACTTTTTAAAAATTTGAAGCGGATCTCGGAAGTGTCACAGCTATCTGGCAAGTTTTTGAACCCGAGCTGCTATTATGTCCTCCATTTTATAATTAGTTTTGTTCTCCAATTTGCAGGAGATTCTATTTCCTGTACTTTTCTTCCAATTTTCGTGTAATTGTATATGTCGTGATCGTGTAATCAGCTGTTGTTTTAATGCATTCTTTTATTGTTCACTTATAAGCACCTCGAAACGATTCTAAAATCCTTATGGACTCGCTTATCATTTTTCATTACAGTTTCAATTCTTAGTAGGATTTTTTAAATCTACCACTTCTATTTTTCAGTGATGTTTAGAATGAGGTGAAAATTCTCAATGGAAGCCATCTGTCACATCAGATCGGTCAGGTTATGATGATGCCCATGAGCAAATTTATTGAGGCTTTTTTCTCAAGACAAGAGTTTCCATGCTTTCGACAATGTTTCTTGCTTACCGGAAGCTAATTGCACGTGCAAATATTTGCTTACCAACGACATTGGAAACTTAGCGTTGCAAAGTGACGAGTTCTTTCACTCCCACTTTGCCCTGTAATAGAAAAACTCCTGGGAATTGCTTTTTCAAATTATATGAAAGTAGCATTGCCAATTTCAAAAGCGAATCTCTTATTCTTATAGGCAACTTATGATTACGCCTAATATTGACTTGTAATGTGATAAGAGGCAGAAATAGCAAATACGGTTGGCTGATGCTTTCCGTTTCTCAACGTGCTACACATTCACAGCTTTTGCTGAGAACAGCGAAACATCCAGAATTGCCATTAATAGCATTTATATGCATTCTCACCATTACATTCATTATCTTTGTACAGTACAACTGCGTAATTATTTGCTAACGACAGCTGGAAATTGCGTTTGCTGCAACCTTTCTGTCTTGAGAAAGCAGCGTGCTTTTTCGATGCTTGTATCTCATTTATAAACCGAAGTTGTTACAGGTACATAACGGGTGGATATTGTGGCCCCAATTTAGAAAGCGATGAGAGTTGAGAAGAAAGGGCGAAGCAGTGAGTATCCGGGACCGGCCACATTCACAGGTGTAATGGGTGACGTCGGGAAATTTCTAAGAAGGAGAAGGGGTTAGCATTTCTTTTCATAATCATTCTGCTTTTTTGTTTTATCTCTTTTTGCTTCTCATTCAACGAAATGTTAACGATCATGCGCCTGCGCTTGGAAACTCAAGGACTGCGGTAATACCTGAGTTTTTAACCTTGCAAAATAAATTCGATAGGGAAGTAGAGTGAGTTGTTCATTCTTTGGTTCGGATTAGGTTTGGGCGATGGCCGTTCTGCACTGTTAGTCTAGCCTTGACAGCCTGATTACTGCGCATCCCGCTGGTTTCTTGACTAACTATAGGCTGTACCAACCAGCATCGGTCACGCACTGGTACGCCGTACGAGAACGTCAGAATAAGATAGTAAGAAAAGAGCGTCCAATTAAAACGCCGATAGCGTCCGCAATAACGCTTGTCCCTGCGTGCGTTGACTCAACTATACTTTCTGAGGCGGTGCCCAACTCAATAATTAACTCTTTATGTTTTTTTATTGCGAAGTCCTATCGAAACGCAAAAGTCAATCGCATCACCTATGCAGTGGCGTACCGAGGGGGGGGGGGGGCGGGGGGGCGCGCGCCCCTCCCCCCCCCGAGAACGGGTCGCGAAATTTTTGAAAGTTACTTATATGCGTTATAAAATTGTGCAAATGACTTGTCTGCACTTGTAAATAATTAAGGGGTTGGCAACCCGCCAAAATTTTAAGAAGCCCCCCAAAAATTTTTTCGGAGTGCGTGGTTAACGCCACGCACCTTCTTTAGAAAAAAATTTTTGTCGCGCCCCCCCCCCGAGCCGAAATCCTGGGTACGCCACTGCACCTATGTAGGCTTTCTTAGAGCTGAACATAGATAAAAATCGATTGCAATCGTACAACTATCACGTTCGGTTCAATATAACATGGAAATGAGGAAGGCGAAGAAGAGAGCTGATGAGATGGGGAGAAAGCGGGAGATAAGGGTTAGCAACAAGTTTGGAATGAGTTACTTCTAGGTAATGGCGTTTCTGAGCTCTGTTCATCTTTCGCGGTTGTCGACAGTGGCAAAATATCTAATATTTGTTTTAGCATGATTGTTCTTTCTTAATTTTACATGCTTTTTTGTGTCATTGATCAGAAAACAATTATCTGCTTTTTTGGTATGAAAATTTTCGATTCCATACTCTTTTCCTTTTATACCATTGCCTCTAGGGTTCCACATACAAACCATCCTACCGTGATTAGGCTGTGCAATTGGCGTACTTTGCGCGCTCTTAGCGTTAGTGGTCGGCGCTGCATATGCGCGCTGTCAGAGAACGAATTACCTCCTTTAACTTGATTTTGACAACTTCTGAACTGCTACAACTTTTACTGCTGATACTTCTCCAAGTTTTGGCAAATGTGGGAACAATGGCTTAGTTCTTTCTCTTTTTGAGTTTCAAACTCACTTTCAGAATTCTGTTTGGATGATGCTCATATTCCAGAGTTTTTCCGTGGTTGTCTCCACTCCCATACTCCAAGCCTCAAATGGACTCTATTGGCACATGTGTGATTGTTGGAAACCCATCTGCGCTGCCCAGCTGCATAGTTTGAGGTGAGGATCCTCTGCTATAGTCTTATTGCCAGTCAGCGTCTATCTGCAGCAATGTTTCTCCATCGGTGTTGTTTAGGCTCATCCTGACGATATTATTGTTGATGGAGTCTGTACTTTCCGTTTCTTCTTGCATACTACCCATTTCCATAAGATTTAGGCAGGTGCGTTGTTAGCAATACTGCATTTTTGATGATTTTTTTGACCCATAAGAAGTTTTGATTTTTGGTCTCCGTAATTGCGAGTTGCATCTTCTGCATTGATTTCGATCTTGATATATAGGCTATCTCAGGAATGTGGCAGCTGGCAATTTGGCCATCCGCAGCCGACTCGCTCGCTTGCTGGGATTTTGTAAAGATTGTGGTAGGCGCCAGATTAACCGATTGCCTGCTTCCAGGACGCGGCACATTTACTGTCGATGTAACTTTGTACGGAAATCATGTCAGCTGCGCGATTTCACTATAACAAAGGTTTTTCACTGGTAGAACCTTTTCATTCTCTCAATTTGCACTAGTTCATCATCATCTCTTCAAAACTGAAGTTGTTGCGAGCATCGGCAATCGGTTAGTCTGGCGTCTATCTGTCTGCGAACATACTGCAAGGCACGAGCGAGTCAGTGGTAACTGTACGAACCGCTCAACCTATGACACACCTTTTGAGACAACCTTCACTTTCACTTTTCAACAAACCCACAGTCTTCTTCACGAAATCGTCAATTTTTTGGTTCGAAATGTTCCAGCAATAGTCGGTATGTTTTTTGCATTGACTATAGTTACTGTTGTTACTTACTTTCTTTCCGCTTTATTTTCTTCTCGCTTTCAAGAAGTCTTTTTTTCTGTTTGGCTGTTGAAACATGGAAATTTATGGAGGCGGCATTGTGCCGCATCAAACCCTTGTATAGCTATGCCTCGTACCTGAAGGTTGAGTTCACACTGACCTGCATGTTAATTGTGCGCTTCCGGAACTTAGATCAGTATGAACCCAACCAAAGCAATCATTTGGTTTTTCAGTTTGTGTTTTCCTTAGGGGGCCATAGGTTGCCGGCGACGGTTGCCGAGGTTGCCGGCGTTGCCGGGGTCAGAGACAGCTTAGAGAGCGCGAAACGTGGAGGCGATCATAAGGCCCTACAACGACTCAAAGCCGGCAACCTCAGCAACCTCGGCAATCTCGACAACCCGAGCCAACCTTGGCAACCTCGGCAACTGTTGCCGGCAACTTATGGCCGTTATCTTAGGCACCCGCCATACTTGTCCTCTTGATCCGCTTGATCCGCTGCAAAACGCGCGCACACAGCAGCGTCATTTGGCACCGCGTAGGTGAAAAGGCATGGTGGGTTATGCAAATTATCTGTATGCGACGACAAATAGCAAATTAGTGACTACATTCTGCACGAAGCGGATCAAGCAGGTCAAGTGGATCAAGAGGATCAGTATGGCCACGTGAATTAGGAGGTAAATGGGAGTGGGGGTGAAGGGTAAAACCAAAAAGTTGAGCTTGGGTCCGGGTGATCTATCTTGCTCCCGACTGTTTTTGAAATTAGCTTCAGCTTGAAGGCAGCGGCTCGGCAAATTTTCAACTCCGGGGTTTTGGCAGATTTGGGGCTATTCCGGCCCCCATGAATCACGACATGAACTTCCATTAGCGCGAAAATGAGGAAAACCCCCTCTTTTGAAACCCCCCTTAGGAGGGGCGCGGGCGAGTGATTTTCTCTGCCGTCAGAGACGCAGAGTAAGGAGGTAGAAAGCGATAGAACAATTTTGCCCTACGAAGCTACGAGTGACGCCGCGTTTTCTAGGAGAACATACTCGTCCGAATAAGGTGTTAGGGAGCGAAAGGAGGAAGGGGAGCGACGGTTGGGCCGCCCCCTGGCTTGCAGGGTTCATATTTTCTGCGCGGAGTTGCTGTTTTGGTTCACTTGAATGGCCTCCTATCCATCTGCCTCAAAATCTGAGGTAGGCTCATTCTGCCGAGACGCTGCCTTTAAGCCCTTAAAATGGATTATCCATTCGGCAACTCCAATCTTTTTGATATGAATTCTATATCCTCAAACAAATAGGACAGTTCTTTCCAATGTCAAAATTCTCCGTTAAAAGCAGCAAAAGCTGCTGGTTTTGAGTAGAAAAAAGTTAGAGTTAATTCACTGTTTTTTACCGAAAGCACTAGAATATTCAACTTTCTAAAACATGCAATCTCTTTTTTTTACTTTTACGCTGGATATAATAGCTGATTTCACGATCAACGTCTGCACCCATTGATGTTGACGCTGTCCATCGTCTATGGTCATCACCTCAATCTAGCGTGCTTTTTAGGTGTCATGAAACAAACTATAATGCAATTTGAAAATCGATTATGATTTTCGTTGTCTAGCCAACTATTGGTGTCTATCAAGGAACTGTTATTCGTGTGACTGTTTCGAAGGTGATACTGACTTTCCTAGCACTGGAGACGATTTATTATTACGAGAACACGAAATCAGGATAAGTCCGATTGCAGCTTGTTATACCGATTAGTGTTTTTTTTTTGTGAGCAAAGCAATTGTTTTATAGGACTATATCAACATCTGCGGGTATTGAGACAATGCCCTTCAAGCAGGTAATCATCAACGTTCACACTTTGAGTTCATTAGAACTCGGTGGATGCTAACTGGCCGAACGCCTCAGAACTTAAAGGCAGCGTCCCACCAAACTGGGGGTATCTGGCTCTCGTAATGATGTGATAGTAGACCCCCTATCTAAGCGAAGACTGAAGTTCGGAGCGAAAAAGGGGGTCTGCCGAGCCTGAAATTTGCTCCGAAAGTGGGCCGAATCTTACGGTAGGGCCGAACGCCGCCCACATGGCAATATCGATTTGCAGGACCAGAGTGCGTATAGCGCACACATCATGAGTGCAGGGACCCGCAGCAACTCTGCCTCTCTACCTTGCGTGCACCTCGCACTCGCCCGATCCTACCGTAAGATTCGGCCCACTTTCGGAGCAAATTTCAGGCTAGGTAGACCCCCTTTTTCGCTCCGAACTTCAGTCATCGCTTAGGTAGGGGGTCTACTATTACATCATTACGAGAGCCAGGTACCCCCAGTCTGGTGGGACGCTGCCTTTAACTTGTTGGATTGGATAACAGAGCTCTGGTCAAGAATTCGTCCCCTTGCATTACCTTCAGTTCTTGTCCTTTTGTTAACACATATGCGATTTATCCCAATATGCTCAATTAAAACGTTGTTGATGGCTTTTATGCAAAACTTTCACAAGAGCCGATACATAAGAGGTTGGAGCTCAGCGATTCTTAGGACCATTTACTACACTACTAGAAGTCAAGATTCAAATGTTTTCAGGACTGGGAAAGCCCTTGAAAAGAATAGGAAGTTTAGCATAAAGCCTGGGCATGTAAAGAATAAGGTAGACTGTTTGATAATAGCACTTCCATTATGTTATGAGTTCTGTGTTACTCAAAAGGGGGGAGATGATAATATTTTCAGGCAATCACTAAATGCAGTTAGTTGCTATCGTTTATCATTTCATGTATTTCAAACGGCGCTCATTTGGGCAGTGTTGAGAGACTAGATTCATATCTCAAAGTAGTAAGGTTCTCAGGTTCTAAGATTTTTCCGTTGGAACGCAATTTAGCTGAAGATCACATGAATATGAGATGAGAAAAAAATGCAATGTCTTCTTCCAGCTGTTTTTGTGACAGCACGCCTTTCGAACGTTCCCGTGTCACTTAGCCAAATCGCCTGGATATTTGTTTTCGTTAAATCGCTCGTGGTATGACTGCTTTCAGGGGACAGTGGGAATTCGCTTGGTTGGTACGACAGAGAATGCAAGCAATTTTTTGCGCACTTTCGGAGCAATTACATACGCCAAGAAACAAAGATGGAGCACGAACCTAAGGAGTTGATCAATAATCACCAAAAGAATGTTGTTATAAATGACTCGTTAACAAATCATCGCTCTTATAATCGCAAGCCCCCACAATGGTCGGTCGCCTCATCGTGGCGTGGGGGTGACACTGGGTGTCGAACTGCGATGCACAGCCGAGTGTATACTCTGGTAGGGCCTCCCAAGCTGTGAAGGAGTTCGACGTTTCCGGTTTCGGCCGGATGCCTAGCTAAGAACTGGCCACGCCAGATCCTCCGCCGTCTGGCTTCTTCTGGTCGCTAGGCGGTCCCTCCCCGCTCCAAGCCCGGGATCAGCGATCGCCCGTGGAAATCAAGAGTAGGCCTAGTAAGCTACCTCTTGTAGGGGAAAAAATTTCATTACTCTACCAGTTAGAAGAATAGAAAGAAACCCTGTACATCGGATCCCGCCTACGGCGCCGGGTGGTAGCAAGAACGATGTCAGGGTGCTTAGGGCGCCTTTCGGATTGGACAAAAACGACACGTCTGCCCGGACGACATGCCATGGAGATTGCCTCATGCTCTGCACCTACAACGCCAAGACAGTCTCCACAAACGCCGACCTCCACGCTCTTCTCGACGCTGCAGAGCACATCAACTACCACATCATCGCTCTGCAGGAAACGAAGTCCAGGAAGAAGTACGTGCGACAGATGAGTGATGGGACCCTCATCATTCGTGGTGAAAAGGTTCCATCACGAAACGTGGGAGGCGTCGGCTTTGTCGTCCACCCATCTATCGTCCATCTTGTCGATTCGCACGAGATCCTATCACCTCGACTAGGCATCCTACGACTACGACCTCCACATCAGAAGACCATCAGCATCATCAACTGCTATTCTCCAACATCAGCAGGTGACGAATCAGAACTAGATGCTTTCTACGAAGATGTGGAGGAGGTCGTCCGCAACGAAAAGTCCTTTTATAAGTTTGTTGTGGGCGACTTCAACGCGAAAATCGGGATGCCACTGGAAAAGGAATATAGGATCGGAAAGTTTGGATATGGGCTCCGGAACGAAAACGGCAACCGTCTTGTTGGGCTTCTCTCCGCCGCACGACTTTTCCATGGAAATTCCATCTTCATGAAGAAAGAACATCGCCGGTGGACATGGGAATCGCCTAACGGAACGACCCACGCGGAGATCGACCACATTCTCACCAACCGAAGGTGGAGCTTGCTCGATATCTCAGTAGTTCCATCCTTCTGCAGTGGCTCCGATCACCGCCTCCTTCGAGCCAAGGTACGATTCAGTCGAAGGCTGGAAAAGAAGATTTGCCACAATGCCGAAAGAAGGAAGAATGTCGTTTATGACGGTAACATGCTGGAGGAGCTCATATCAAGTTGTTACTGGCCCATCGAGGAGGACCCAACGTACGACTACGACCGGCTTCTGAAAGGATTGCGAGCCTGCGGAGAGTGCGCCTTAGTGACTTCCGAGAAGTTGAACGCGTTTCGAAGACCACCAAGGAAATGCCTGAAAGAAGAAGATTTCTGAGGCAGGATCCGAATGCAACCCATCTCGAGCGACTGATAGCCAACGCCAGTTGCAGAACAGCTTTGCAGGAGGATCTCAGGAAGTACAGGCAAGCCAAGATACTGGAAGCAGCCGAAGGAAGACGAAGTCTCAAGAAGTGCCGAAGGTACTTCTGTGAATATCGCGTACCGCTGGCTGCACTATTGAACGAAGTCGGGACTCCGACTTCTTCCCGATATAAGATGGAATCTATCGCGAAAAACTTTTGCACCAACCTCTTCCGCTCGTCATCACCCGTGCAGATACCTTTTGTTCCCACTAGAGAAGTTCCACCAAGAATTCTATTTGTTGAAGTGCGTATCGCGATACAGATCATGAAGACCACGGCTCCAGGACCAGATCATCTTTCCGTCGAACTTCTGCGAGCCGAAGGACAACGCCTACATGAGTGAGATTCTCGCATCGAACCTAACATCTTACCTTCAGAAGGAAAGGATTCTCGACTAGTGGAGAACATCAAGAACCGTCCTTCTTTTTAAGAAGGACAAACGGGAAGACCTTCGGAACTACCGTCCAATATGCCTGCTGAGTGTGCTCTTCAAGCTTTTCACGAAGAATATTTTCGCTCGCATATCTAGGACACTGGATGAAGCTCAACCCCAAGAACAAGCTGGATTTCGCAAAGGATTCAGCTGCATGGACCACATCCAGACGGTTTCGAGGGTCATAGAAGTCTGCTGGGAATACCGACTGCCTCTCGTCCTAACCTTTGTCGACTACGAGAAAGCCTTTGACAGCGTCGAAACCAACGCCATCCTGTCTGCGCTAGTCGATCAAGGAGTGGACCCAGCTTACGTGAGGACGTTAGCCGACTGTTACAAGGACTGTACAACGACGATGCAGCTATTCCATCGCCCCCTGACCATCCCAATTGGGAAGGGGGTTCGACAAGGCGACACAATTTCGCCGAAGCTGTTTACCGCGGCCTTGCAGTGGGTGATGAAGTCACTGGACTGGGACGAGAGAGGCATACGAGTTGATGGAAGATTCCTGTCGAACTTTCGTTTTGCGGACGACATCGTTCTCTTTTCGAGCAGTATCACTGAAGCAGAGACGATGCTGAAGGAACTGCACGAAGTAGGGAAGAAGATCGGATTGCGAATCAATCGGAAGAAGACTCAGTTCATGAAGAACGCCCTTTGCGAAGATGCAGAAATGGAATTGGAAGGCACCCCTATCACGGAGACGTCTTCTTACGTGTATCTCGGACGTTCGATGATCATGGATAACGACTTGAGAGAAGAACTTAACAGGAGAAGAAGAGCAGCCTGGGCCGCCTTCGGGCCTCTGAAGGAAGCCACCGACCAACTGACGGACCCGGAGCTTCGTGCCCACCTGTTCGACTCAACCGTTCTCCCGGCGCTCTGTTACGCAGCTGAGACTTGGGCTGACACCGTCGCCACTTCGAAAGCTTTAAGGACCACCCACAGAGCGCTAGAGCGTAGTCTTCTGAAGATGACCCGACACAAACAACATCTCGTCGGACTTCGCAGTACGGATATGAGGAGAATGTCCCGTCTTCGTGACCCAGCGGATTACGTTGCGAAAGCGAAGCATCGATGGGCCGGTCACATCATGAGAAGAACAGACGACAGATGGACACTAAGAACATCGGAGTGGATTCCTCGCGAAGCAAAACGTCCCCGAGGAAGACCACCAACGAGATGGGCAGACGTGTTCGTGGAACGGATGGACCAGCTGAGAAATCAGCTGGATACGATTTTTGCACCTGGAACTCGTGGACGCAGCCACCGACGTCAGCCAAGAAGATCGTGGATGTCAGAAGCAAGGGACAGGGAGATATGGAAACTTCTGAGCTGGGGCCCGCACGTCACGTGAAGGAGGGCCATCTAAGTAAGTAAGTAAGTAAGTATAATCGCAAGCAATAGTTAGGGCCGTGTTGAACCGTTAACCTTCTTGCACTGCAACTTGAACGACCTTTTCTGGAAGGATTTCTACCCTTGCGAGCTTAAAGCTATTATCCATTTTTAGAATCAGGGTAGAGAAAGTTCATCACGCATTTTTAACAAGTTTAAACCACTCTTTCCATTCCTAGTAGTAGGAGGGTTGAATGGGGGTATATTACGAGTTTTGACTTGTTGACAGTACGTGGTCTTCTCGAGAATGATAACATGTGAAGGAAGATATGGATCAATGGCTCGACTGAAGGC